GCAGAAAGTACTAATTAGATCATGTTGAACAAAATTCAAGGTGCAACAAGATAATTGTTTTTTCACGTAACCAATATGCTCAAGTAATATTATTGCCTCAAGGAAAAGAACAGTGTAGCCAATCCCAAATAATTGGGATATTACTACTGATTGTGGATCTTGGTTGTTGTTTTTGTAGGTAAACTAGTCAGCCTTTACATAAGAAATTGTTAAGCATGCAATAACAATGAAGAGAAGATGATGTGCAGCATAACAACAGAATCATCAAAATAGAGAAGTTTAGTACAGCAATATTGAACATACACGCAAAATGTGTTAAAAGTTCCAAGATGTTTATTGAGAATTAACCTTTTCTCAAGAAACAAAGATGTAATTATTTCAATCTAATGTTGTCAATTGAAAAGTAAATAAAAACCTTACAGCTTCATATACATTCATAACTTCAGTAATAATACAGGAAGGAGGGTAAAAGCTCCAAATTGATCTCTAATCAGCAAATTTATTTAAACGGTGGATTGTACTTCTAGCAAGCCTGTTACCGGGATCAATTTTCAGAACCATCCTCAGATCTTCCGCGCCAAGTTTGTACTTCTCCATACTCTCATACAGAAGAGCACGTTGCACTAGCAATGGGACATTTGTGGTGTCTTTATCTAACACCTACAGACCAACAACATTTAAGATGTTTTAGTTCACAAAGATAAAACCTGAAAAATAGAGCTTGAAGACTTGTAAATACCTTTGAACAGTCAGTCACAGCCTTCTTATACTCACCAACTTCTTTGTAGCATGAGGCTCTACAAGACAAGACCTCACTCAGCGAATCATTATCCCCAGACTTCTCCGATAGCACCACTGCCCACGAAAGCCACTTGATAGCATCTGCAAACTGCCCCTGCTTATAATTGTCTAATCCCTTAGTCATTGCTGCAGGTGCAGTGATGCCTGCCGGTGGCGGTGGCAGCCCTTCAAGCTCAGTTGTCGGCCCACAGGTTTCATGCCCTCCAAACTCAGAACCCAAGTCCCAGTCATTTATTTCAGAGAATTGCTGACTCGCTGATGACTCTGGAGCAACTCCAGCAGCAGGGGCAGGTGAAGAGAAGAACATATCCAACGGATCTGTGCCATTTTTAGGGGAGGCAGTTGGCTGTGGTGGTGGTGGTGGAGCTGAAAAACTCTGACCTTGCGTCATAATATGTGCGTTTTTCGTCGAATTGATATTCTGGAACGCGCCAAAAGGGAAATCATCAGCAACAGCGTTGCAACTGCTCACATTGGATGAGTTTACCGATGACATTGGTGCCTTCGTAGAGGGCTTTGATCCAAAGCCAATCAACGAATCAAAAGGATCACTTTTAGCAGTCACCGGCCGCACCCCAGTTGCCGATCCCATCGGCTGCCCACCACCTCCCATAGCTGTCCTGATCTTAGGATCAGGCTGAGCAAAAGCTGAGGAATTTCCAAGAAGATCCGCAGATCCCCAGCTGCTAGGTCTCATAGGGATACTATTCGCCGTGGAAGCCGCGGTCGTGGTGGTCGATCGAGGGAGTGAATCAGATAAATTACCCATGGAGAAGGCGTTCCTTGGCGCAGCGGACTTCAAGGGGACGTTGCTAGATCCGCTGCGGCCCTGGCCAAGGGCGGATCCGACGAGATCGCCGAAGAGATTTGGGTCCGATTTCGGAATCCCGATACCAGAGGAGGCGGAACGAGGAGGAGCGGCGGATGCCCATGTCTTGCCGAAGATATCACCGACCATGGAAACGGGAGCGTTTGCGAGGTTGCCAGATCTAGCAGCGCCAGTTATTACGGAGGGGGCGGCGGGGGTCCACGAGGGCCGGGACGGCTGGTGCGACCAGGCGGGGGCGGTGGGCCTGGAGGCGGTGCCTGGGGTTGCATAGGGGCTGGATTTCTGGTCCTTGAGGGGGCGGGACGCGGAGCTGCGGGTGGAGCCACCGAGGCCGAAATCGAATTGGTCCGTATCGAAGGAGGGGGCCCGATGGGAGCTGTTGCCGTCGAAGTTCATAGTGGCGCAGGGAGAACTGATTACCGCCGGCACAAAAGGTCCGATCGGCGCGAGCAGTCTGACGGTTGATATCAAGCGGTGCGTCCGGTCTGGTTCGGCCCGGCTCGGTTTTATCAATCGCGATTCGAGATCGCACGCACAAACAAGACAAAGCGGTTCAATTCACCATCAAGCTTGAATGCGCGTTGAGAATGACAGGAGTAAAGCATGAATCAATACTTTGTAATCTTTATGAGAACTATAAAGATACAAACCCTTTATTCTCCAAATAAAGGATAATTACATATTACCTTATGCGATTAGTTATGATTGATATATTAGGAAAGTAAAATATTTAATATTTATTCTTCTTACATCGTTGACGATAAAAAAAATAACATATGTTATCACATGCACAAAAGAAGACACGAAAAAAAGAATAAAAATATAATTTTTATTTTTTAAAATTATTAATTTTATATAAACTTCTCATTTTAATCGAATACCTCATCTCCTCCTTTTTTACAACTTGATCGATTGTCGCTCGCTACACTGACTCCCTCGTTTGTCACACTCACTCATTCACTAATAGGTTCATCGCCACCTGTAACTCCTCCTTCCTGAAGCCCATCGCTTACCACTCCGTCGTGTCCAGGTGTAGACTACGGCTCTTTAGCGAGAACACATGGGCCAGGATCTCCAACACCCTATTGCTGCTATAAAACCCCACCTTGATGTCCGCCACTTCGCACTCCATTAACTGCATGAACCGCACCTCCTCCCCTCCTCTACTCGCCTGCCACACTTGCTCACTCGTCGCACCCGCTCATTCACTAATAAGTTCATTGCCACCTATAACTCATTCCCGAAATTCATTGCCCATTGCTCTATCATGTCCAAGTGTAGACTATCACTCTCCGATGAGAACGCGTGGGCCAAGATCTCCAACACCCCGTCGAAGGGCTCGTTGTCATCGCTATAAAACCCTGCCTTGAAATCTACCACTTCGTACTCCGCCTACTCCACGAACCGCACCTCCTCCCCTCCTTTATTCACTCGTCGCCCGCCACACCTGCTCACCCCCTTGCCCATCGCTCCTCATGAGTGAGTTGGTTTAAAAGAGGAGAGGAGGAAATCCATTAAGATGTGAAATTCATATAAAATAAATAATCTAAAAAATAATAAAATTATGTTTTTATTTATTTTTCACCATGTGTGACAACACGTGTAATTTTTACATGCAATAAACAATATAAGTGTGCTTGAATAAAGCAGTTCCCACAACTTAGCTAATCAATCAAAGAGTTATAACACCTATTGTCTCAAACAAAACCTTTTATTTGTGACACCAAAGAAGCCAGAAAGTAAGACACAAGTCACAGACCACAATCCACTTAGCACCAAAATTTGTATTCAGTTATAGCACCAACTTTGGCATCACAAGGAACATCAAAAATAAGAATGTAAAAAATGAAGCATATACTTAACCTCAACAATTGTAGTAACACAATCATTACAAAGAATATAAATCACAAATACACACCATACAAAAATAAAACCGCCCTTTTCGGTGAAAATCACAGCTAGAAGTGAAAATAAGCAAAGGCCACTGTCACCATGTATTGTAGAGAAAATTACAAATAACACACACAATCACGAGCATAACACTTGCATACTTATCTACCAAATATCTAATGTTACAACAACCTGTTTGAGTCTTTACTTTTCTCTTACTAATCATACACAGTACAGTACAGGCCTTAATGATGTGCATCATTTGCTAAATATATTATTTAGACTAATGAGATTTTGAACTAGAAGTATGACAAACATTAGGGACTAATAATTTCAGATAAACCAATTTTAACATTTTCTATGAGAAAAACTGTGTAATTTAAATGGATAAACAAACATTTTATACAAATAATATTTATGGATATTTTGGATCTATTATCTAACACAAAAGAAAGAACTAGAAAAACATTGATCATAAGTTTTGTATAATTAATATTTAAGTGTTTATACCAAAGAGGAACATCAAAAGTTTTGTATGACAATTATTTGCACTTTACATTAACAACAGAAAAAGAGAAAACCTAAGTGGCAGTAAGGCCAATTATGCTTTACTGATTGAATTATTGGGCAGTTAGAAAATATGTATAAAAATTTTGTACATCCAAGATGAGAATATTGAAATGAATGCATAGAAAGTTACCAAGAAATATTTTCATTTGCAAGCAATTAAGTCTGGATCCGACAGGTTATCGAACTATCGAAGAACGGTTTGTTATTTCAACAATCTTACAAGTTAGTCTGCATAAACATTTATAACAAATATGCTAGTTTGTAAAGTAACAAGAATACAGCACAAGAAGCCAGTATAAGACTATTATGTGCAAAAAAAAATCATTTGTTGTTATTTTCTTACAATGACTAGAGTTCTGAATACAGTTTGTATGAACTAAGATTATATAAAAATTTCAGCATGAGCAAACTGCACTCAGAGTTTCAAGGGATGATAAATGCAGATCAAATATGGAGGGTACCACCAAATGTGAATAGACATCAACCTCTTCTAATAAAAAGAAGCAAAGGAGACAACAACACAGAGAATACAGGACAAAGATCTCGCAACATCCCTGCTTCTCATAACTAGCAATATGTAAAATAGATAACAACACTAAGACACGCAGGTTGATATATGTCCCTAGTATCATGAAAAGATTTTGATTGGGGAATGATTTAATGGACACCTGTCCAATGTGAAGCTTTTTCCATCGTTGGATGAAAATTTAAATATAAAGAATTCTTGCTTTGAGACTCTGGAACTCCTGAATCCAATAATAAAAAGAAAACCTGGAGTTTATCTGACTGTTTTCCATATAATCTCAGGTTACTTGAAAGAATTTTCCAATAGAAACAGCTTTAGATGAAACAAACATACATTAAAAAAATCAGACACAGGATAAAGCAACATTACATAGAAAACCAGAGATGAAGAAAAGAAAAAACAACAAATCTACATAAACTCCAAAAGCAAATTACAGCAAGTGCAATACTAAATTTTACCGCATAGAATATGTTCGAGTTATGGATTAATAACTTTTCCCTCTGCCAATTCAAAGTTATTAAAGCTTCCAGCAGCATATCTTACATCATACTATAAATCAGAGCATGTACTTTGATGGCTGTCTCACATGATATAAAAAGCACCACAATGTCAGAATAAGAAGCCACTTTGCAAATAGAACACTATGCATAATAGCTTCACCTAGCCTTAATATCCTCCTCTTGGTGGCCCATTCTCAGGCATTTGCTGCGAGCCAGGTTGACTCTGATCTTGCCCCCAGTTCCCCCTCTGCATTGGTTCTCTTCTTTCAACTCGCATTGTCTCTCGTCGCCTATCATACCGGGGTCGGGGCCTGCTTCTAGTTTGCTGCCTTTCGTTGAACCAAAACTGTGGCCGATGGATGACCTTACCATCAACAAATAGATCACCTACAGCATTCACATGAGAATAGAGATTATCACAAGTAATTATCATTTGTGAAATAAACAATAGCAAATTAATCACATGTAAGACAATATCCTAAAAACAACCAACAAGAACAAGTGAAGCACAACTTTAGATACCAACCTCCGTAGTCCTTGTTGGGCACGTCCAAATAAGAATCAGGCAATACCCAAAGAACTCCAGGCAATCCTGCAATGACCGATAAGAGATGATAAGGTTTAAGATTCAACAATCCGCCATTTCTAGCAGACAGAAACATCAACAGTACTTGAAACCAATACCTTTAACTTTGTAAGAAAGTTCTTCGGAGATCAAAGCCCCGAAACCCGTATAGGTCGTGGTGCAAACCGAGTATATCTTCTTCTTTGCCTCCTCCTCACTGCAACCAGATCATTCCATAACCAATGACCTCTAAAGATTAAGCCAAAATCCAAACTTTAGGAGAAAGAACTCTTTTCCAAGTTACGAAGAAGGGTATTCTCTGACCTGCTGACGACAGCGGCGAGGGTCTTAACGTAGGCGGCGATCATCTCCTCCTCCGAGGGTTTGGGGTCCTGGGGAAACTCCATGACGATGAGCCAGTGCTCGTAGTCACAGCCGTCGAGGAGGATGGTCTCCTTGGGAGGGCGATTACTCCAGTTAGGGGAGGGGTCATTGAGAGGAGAGTATCCCGAGCCGGATGTCGTCTTCCACCGGGCCGAAACGAGCCTTGGCACCGCGCCAGCGAGCCAGGGAACCTCAAGGGTGGCGACGGATGCGGAGAGGCGTGAGGGAAGAGGGGGCGGAGGAGGATGGGAGAGCGGGGATCGCAGGGGAGAGTGATTGGAGGAGAGAACTCGGGAGAGGAGAGAGGAGCGGCCGCGTCGGGTCACCGCCGCCATGGAACGGTCTCAGGGTGTGTGTTCGCTTCAAGCCCATCTCCCATTTATGGGCTGAGACGTCACCCCCAGGCCCGGTGATCTTAAGCTCCATCGTTCCACGTCATCTTATAAGCTGCCTTCATCACCTTGAGAGTACATCCATGTCATCTCATAGGTTGACTTTATTTAATATAAATAAATATCATATTTAATCTTGATCAAACATAATAATAAGAATAAAATCATGAAATCAAACTATTTGAAATCAATTAGATGGACCTTATATTATCGTTGAGATTCGTAAAATATCATAAGCTTGTTAAGTTTAAAATATTTAATTTTTTAATATCTTCATAGTGATTGAATAAAAATAATAACTTAATAAAAAAAATAAAAGATAATTTTTTGTGAAGGTATCATTTGGGATCCTTATCAAAAAGAAGAAAAGTAACTCTTTAGAAAGCCTACTATTGACAACTCTTCTTCCATCATAAGTGACTAAAACAAATGATGCTTCTAAGATAAAATCCTATAGATATCCTTTAGAATCCACTCGGATTAATAAAATCGTATGGTGGCATGAAGGCTCCTATATACAACATTTGACAAGTTATTTAGTATATTTTCAATCATAAATTCTTACATGTTGGTGATAAAATTTGTACATCTATGCCACTCTTTTTTATGTTCCGTAAGGGATGATGACATGGAAAAGTTGTGGTGATTTATTTAGGATTAGCATTTCATAAAATTTTAAAATAAATTATAATTAGGTGTGTTAGAAAAAAAATACCATTCATGTTTTTATTAACATGACGTGGTCCCGATCGATATATGCAGAGTCATCCGGAATAGAGAGTGGTTTTCTCTGACTTGTTATCTGCATAAAAATCAAGGTCGTAAGGAACTTCTCGAGTCGGTCTCTCAGACACTTAAGTTAGTATTGAGGTTACTTTTCTCTCTTTTTTTTTCTCTTTAAATTCAGAGTTAATGGTACATTTATATATTAACATCAACGAAAAAGAATATCTCAGGAAAGATAGTTCATAATCGACTTTAATTACTTTTTAACTCATGTGAATATTTCATAGGGAGACAGCCCATAATAGACTCAAGCTATCTCTTAGATTCTCAAAAATATTTTTACAAATATTCTATAAAGGAAGCAACTCGGTAACTAGATCGAGTTATCTCTTGGACTTCTATCCATGTGGGTAGGAGGCATCGGGTTACTTAAGTTTTTTTTTTCTCTCATATTTTACGTGAAGTTGACATAATAGGCTAATTGTATATTCCTTATCAAGATGCATATTCATTCACATTTAGCATAATTCAACATCACAATGAAAAATAAGAATGTACTAACTATTAGTCATATAGATGAATGAATCTTATCCCATCTATTAACCTAAGATTTAGTATTACTGTATATTGCCTTCCTTTTTCATGGTAAGAATTCAAGCATACGATCAATATATAATAGAATTCAAAAGATAAGAAATAGTAAGAAATGGTAAGACATAACATATTCTCTAAGATTCAAAATAATAGAATATGGTAATCACAAGAAACCTTGAAGGCAAACAACTGAGCCTCATAATGAGAATTACTAAAGCTTGTTCTTCGTGAATATATTAAGAATATAAATCAATACATCATATCTCATTATTTAAGCACATATTTGAAGCTCTTGATATCTTCATGCCCATTGATAAGATTTTTATGCTATTATACATAAATTGGTGGATTTTTTTTAATAAAGAAGTTTTCATTGTAAATCACTGAATGGATTTATGTCTTTTTTATTTTTTTTGTCGACAATATTCCAAATTGAAATGATATATAAAAAAATTTATCAAATTCATCATCCAAAATTTTCTCTAATAACCAAATCAAGGTTTTGCTTCATCATTCCCATAGTCCAATTTGTCACTTGAGTCATTCTCTCCATTTTCATTATTTTTTTCTCATTAGATTCAAGAATATTCGATTATCTATAGGACCCTATTCATATCGGTCTAAAATAATTTATTCTTTCACTTTTGATGTGATTTGATATTGAGATTAACTTATGTCCTTGTCAAGAAAAAATATATAGTATTATCCTACTCCAGTGTATAAACTCGATAAATCCGTATAACTAACTCGTTAACTTATTAAGTTTGAATTACTGACTCGAAATATTATCATAAATAAGTTAGATTTTCTCCTGAGTTTAAAATTTTAATTAAAAATATTAGAAAACTACATTGATATTATCAACAATTGAATGTGCAATTCATCCTCTGTTCATGTCATACTTTGGAAAAGAGATGAACACTTTATTTCCCATCATAAATAAACTAACCCTTACTTCACAAGTTGGCATACAACCAAAATGCTTGAAACCACCAATTGCCATTGTCACTATCCTCCTTTTGCAGTGGGCAAAGAAATATCCTACCCACTGCTTAAGAATCACATGTTTTGCTATCACTTTCCATGGATTGGATAGGATTGTGGCCTTCCAATGGGCATATTACAAGCACCAACTTTGACCCACATATGACCATTGGATGCATGATGGCCATTGTTTTAGAATTGTCTTATTCATCTGAGAATCAACCTATATTGATCTTAGATATTTTTTTTATAGTGGATTAGTGGTGAAGATGATATTTGATCACCATGTCTTTTCATCACCATCATCATTCTATTGACTTAGTTATAAAAATTATCGGATAAGGTCCTAAATTTTAAAACTTTAGAAAACTAGCTTCCGAAAAAAAAAATCTGATATAATATTTTATTCATGATTTTAGAATAATTATCTTTATGATGATGAAGAACACAAATTTCACATATAGAAAATTGCTTTAGTTATAAATAAAGTCAACTACTACTATGCCAAAACTTGATTAGTGAATGTAAATAATTCTACTACTACTTAATATAATTGTATAGCTAACCATTGTCTTCAACTTTCCCATCTCTTCTTATCCTCATCGTGTGTGATTGATAGTGATCATTCATTGAATCAATAAAAAATATTTTAGAAGACAGTGTTTGTTTTTTTTTTTTTTCTTCTTGATTTTTATTTTTGAGAAAGAGATAAACTAGGAAGATGAGATTCGAGCCACGACTTTATGAGAAACTATCAAAGTCTTTATCAGCAAGGCTAACTCATGCGAGCCTACTTATTCTCTGTTCACCATCCTCGACTATCGCTTGCGACCCTTTCCTTTCTTATATGTGGTTATTGGTCTTCCTCCTTCATTATTGACGACCCTCTCCTTCCTCTTTTCTTGTATGTGTGCTCGAGCTAGTATAGTTAGGGGCCCTCGTCGCCCTCACATGTGACCCTATTCTTCCTCATTCCTTGTAGGTATGGTTGGACTAGTATGGTTATCACACAAAGGCAACCAGTGGTGGAGGTGATTAAGGGCTCGCTTGAGCGACGATGATCAGGTGATGAAAGCATAATTGGTCAGAACCTAACTAGTGATGAAGGTGCAAGCATTGTCGATATACGAAGGCGATCAAGAGTAAAATCATCATTTATAAAAAAAAAATGAGTTATCTACCAAAATTTTTAAAAGTTGTGGTGTTTTACAAAAATTTCTTAAAACTAAAGATTTTTTAAAAATTCATCCTATCATTTTTTATCTTAATATAATATAATTGACTATATAATCTTGAAGTTAATCATGGTCAAATACAGTGATTATAAGATTAGAGATGTTATAACATTCGCTCAATTAAAATTAACAAAACTATATTTAGCCCTGATCGAAGAGTTGAGAAATCAAGATATAATAAAAGTCCAAAGATGACTCCTCTCACATAGCTCATTTCATAGGTCCACCTCGAAAGAATAGAATTGGACCCCAAAATTTCTTGTCTTCGTGACCATGTTGATGCAACATATCTAGTGGGCGCATGTCATATTCATACGCTAAAATATCATATCAATGTGTCGAGTGCTAATTGATTGAGAAATAATAGTCATAATAATAATAATCTAGGAATGACATACATACCAACATCATACCTATTTCTTCTAGAACGTTGTACAGCATTCAATTAGCTGTGGGCCTCTCGGTTGACCAAGCATCCGGTTGACCTTATGGCCCCACTCGACACATCATACATATAATACTCTCAATGTAACATGTAGCAACACCATAAATTATGGACACCTCCGCACCCGATTTATAAGAATACACTTGGTACAATTTTATATCTTATCTATAACGCTGACAAGCAGTCAGTGTTATCGGTCGAAAACTATTATAATACACCACAACGGTGGAAATCGGCTTTTTTATATTTTCTTTTCTATCCAAATCAAATATCTCATTTGATTTAATATAAATAGATAAATCTAAAACATGATTATATATATATATATATATATATATATATATATATATATATATATATATATATATATATATATATATATATATATATATAAGATTGATATCCCAATAGTACGGGATTGATATCTTAAAAGTACGTGATTGATACCTTGCTACAAGATTGAATTCTTCGAATATTATCATATCTTGAATTTAGTATACCATAATCGAAGTTAAGTCGAATCTGTCGAACATTATCATATATTGAATTTAGTGCATCGTAATCGAACTAACATCTCAATATTACGTGATTGACACCTAACACCATGTGATTTACACCTCGCTACAAGATTGAATTCATCGAACATTATCAAATCTTGAATTTAGTGCATCATAATCGAATTGACATCTTAATATTACGTGATTGACACCTCAACATTACGTGATCTATACCTCGCTATAAGATTAAATTCGTCGAACATTATCGAATCTCGAATTAAGTGTATCATAATTGATATTAAGTTGAATTTATCGAATATTATCATATCTTGAATTTAGTGTACCGTAATCGAAGTTAAGTCGAATCCTTAAACACTTATAACAATATAACACAAAGCATAAGTCGAATCATTTTGAGTTCAAAACTAACTTATTCATATGAGTATCGTCGGAAACACACCGATATAGTTTTTGTACATCATTGAAGTCAGACAAGTGCGATCTCGATTGAAAGTGTTTCGAGAGACTAGC